TACAGCTTAGATACTCAAGAAACTTATTTTTCAGGGTGCAGAGCCTCCTAAGCAGGAATCTACCACTTGATCCACACCCCTAGGATCTCCCTGTGACTATAATCCTCCTACCTGAACTACCATTCTTGGTTCCTTACGTATGCTGAAAATTAACAGTGACTTTTTGTGTGCTGGACCTGGGCCTGAACTCAGAGCCTGGGCACTGTCACTGAGCTTTTTTGCTAAAAGTGCTCTACCAGTTGAGCCATAGCTGCATTTCCAGATTTTTCTTTTTGGTGCTTAGTTGGAGATAAAGACTTTCACAGACTTTTCTTGTCCAGGCTGGCTTTGAACTGTGATCTTCCTATCTCAGCCTCCTGAGTTGCAGGCTTAGAGTTATGAAGCACCATGTGAGAGTCACTTCCTTTGGTAAGTAGACTTTCATTAAGCTAGCACCTTGCTTTTTATATTTTGGTTCAGTAAGTTATCTTCTGCTGTCCAGAAGAATTACAATGAATACTGTTGAAAATACAGTGTATAAATCTCATGAAGTTGTATAGAATGTGTTCAGTTTTCCACAATGGAATGCTGAGTCTATATCAAAGCCTTTGAGAATTAGAAATACACACACACACACACACACACACACACACAGAGTTGGGAACAAGTGGCTCATGTTTACAATTCTAGCTATTCAGGAGGCTGAAATCTAAGTATCAAAGTTGGCCCTGGTAGACAAATCCATGAGACCCATTTACAAATAACCAACAAAAAGTAAAAAGTGGAAGCCTGGCTCAAATGGTAGGGTGCCAGCAGTGAGCATGAAAGGCCCAGCAAGGGTGCTTCAAGTCCTAATACTGGCACATACTCAGAAAGAAATGTGATTCACTTACAGACACACATCAGCTGTGGCACAAACCTGTAATCCCAACACTTAGGAGTCAGGCTGATTGCCAATTCCAGGCCACCATGGACTAGATACCTTGTCAATTAATAAATCAAATCCCAAACGTTCTGAAACACCTTCTTAAAAGCACTTCATTTCTCCAGGTACTGTGCTACCTACGTCCTGTAATCCCAGCTGAGACAAGAGAATCAAGAGTTTGTTGCCAGTCTGGGCTACATAGTATAACCCTATCTGACCTCCCCAACATCAAAGGAAAAAAAAAAATCACAGAACTTATTTAGCAATTTATTTGGATTTACATTACACATATATACTGTGCTCCTTTTGTCTTTGTGTTTTTAAATATCTTGGATAAATGCTCTTTCATAAGTACTTAACTAAACAAAAACTCTTTGCTTTGATTAAGTAATAGCCTCGTCTAAACTTTATGAAAACTATTAGGAAATCAGATACCATATGCAAAAGCCATCTTGAGGAAGATTTCACTCACACCCAAATGGCAGGATGATTGTACTTGATTCCAGACCAGTTTCTCAAGATGCCATCAACGGTGGTATCTCTGAGTGTGTGGTCAGGGAAGTCCGTAACAGGTGAGGTCGATCACAACTACACATTATTCCAGTCCATTCCTAACTACAGAAAAAGCAAAGCTGGCTTCCCGATCGCGAAAAGATGTCAATCCCCAAACCAAACACACATCTCCTCTCCCCGCCCCCCCCCGGAACCCCCGATAAGACCAACGCTCATGACGACGTCCCAGCTTTGGGGGCGCCCGGGGAAAGTTTCCCACTGCACTTCCTAGATGCCAGGCCCTAGGAGGGGCGAGCCGAGGTCTCCGCCCTCGGGAGGGACAGGAACCGGGGTGGAAGATCAGGCACCACATCCCCAAAGATCTGAGTGCGTGGGAGATTCCATTATAGAACTGAGGGGCCCAGAAAGAAAAGTTGATTCTACCCCGGGTCGGACGGGCCCCGGGGCGGAGGAGCCGGGAAGGCTCCGGGGAGGGCGACTCCAACCAAGACCCGAGGGAAGCGGGGAGGACTCGGCAGTCCCCCCGCCCCACGCCCGCGCGAGCCCCCCGGGCGCCGCCTCCGACACGCCCCCGGGCCGACCAGACCTCCGGACACCAGCAGCACGGCCAAGGCTGCGAGCCGAGGCGTCGGGGAAGGTCCCCCGCCCGAGGAGGGTGGCGCCCCTCGCCCGGCAAGGACCAGATCCGGGAGCCTCGGGCCCCACCCCACGCTCCGTGGACAGCGATCGGCACCCCACGCCCGTCACCGCGCCGCGGAAGGGCCCCCGCCGAACGCGGACACTTACTTTCTCGTGGAAGATGGACTCCATATTTATTTGTCTGGAGCCAACGGCCCCCCGTGCCGAAGCAGCCCCTCAGCTCCGCCCCCGGCCGGCCCGCCCCGCCCACGTGCTTCGCACAGGCCAATCGTGCCTGAGGAAGTGAGTCACGTGGTGCGAAGAGCGCGTGAATGCCTGGAAAGGGTTGAAGGGGGCGGGGTGGGAAATCAATGCGGAGGCACGTGACCGTAGTGTGCGCCTCCCTGGCCTGTTACCGGGCTACGTGCGTGGTGCTGCAGTGCCACCTGCCGTCCGGAGGAGCTTTCTTCCGCCTTCCACCCAGTGCCATACATTCTTTGGTTTCTAGGGGAGTGCATGAGGATCAACCAGCTAGGTTCTATGTTCTTTTTTCCTTTCAGCATTACATTCTGCTTATCTATACGTAATTTGTGTGTGTGTGTGTGTCCGTCCGTCTTGAGGCTTGAACTTGGGGCCTGGGCACTATCCCTGAGCTTTTTTGCTCAAGACCAGCCCTCCCCCACAGAAGCCATAGCTCTACTTTGTTTGGTGGTGGTTAATCCCAGGTAAATCTTATGGACTTTCCTGCCAGGGCCAGCTTTGAGCTGTGATCCTCAGATCTAAGCTTCCTGAGAAGCTAGGATTACAGGCATGAGCCACGGTGCCCAATTACATGCATTTAACATCGTCTTTGTCCTCCCCCACGGAGAACCCCATTAGAGGAAATGCCATTACTGCATCCTCCCAATACCTCAAACTTGTGTTAAAATATTTAGGACTTTTTCTGCAGTAAAAATTTTTTTTTTTTTACCTAAGGCTTTAGTATAAACTAGGCAGTCTTGTAAATGCTACATACTAACCAATTTAATGTACCAATCATTAATGGGTTCATTTTCCTATTATACATACTAGGAAATTCAGGTTCCAGTGTCAAGGCCTGATATTAAGTTGCATTGTAGGCCCAGCACAGTGGCTCACACCTGCAATCCTAATTACTCAGTAGACTGAAATTTAAAGATAATTTGAAGTCAGCCCAGGCAGCAAAGACTGAGACTCTTATCTCCAACAAACTACCACAAAAAGCCAGAACTGGAGCTCTGACTGAAGTGGTAAAGTGCTAGTCATGAACAAAAGAAGTTCAGGACAACACTCAGGCCCTGAGTTAAAGCCTCAGGACTAGCACCAAAAAGAAAAAGAAAAGTTGAATTATGAGCTGGGCACTGGTGGCTCAGGCCTGTAAGCCTCACTACTCAGGGCACTGAGCTCTGGAGGACTGCAGCTTGAATCTAACCTGGGCAGAAAAGTCGAAAAAACTCCCATCTCCAATTAACTAGCACAAAACTGTGCTGGAGGAATGGCTTAAATGATAAAGTGCCAGAAAAGTAATTGTGAGCCTGTTGAGTTGAAACCCCAGTACTGGCAGAAAGAAAAGTTGCATTGTGAAGATAAAAATCCAACACTGTTGCCAGGATGTTCTAGCCCTGAAGATGAAGCATCAGGTGGAACTAAAATGTCTGTCTTAGAAGAGGATTTGATGAAGCTCAAGGGTAGGAAACTTGTACATCTTGCACCTTGAAACCATGCTAGCATATACTTTTTGTATGTTTATACTGGTACTAGTAGGGCTGGAACTCAGGGCCTGGAGCTTTGGTTTGGCTTTGTCATTCAAGGCCAGTGCTCTACCCTTTGACCTACACCTCCACTTTGCCTTTTTGCTGGTTAATTGGGACTGTGATCCTCATCTCAGTGTCCTGAGTAGTTGGGATTATAAGCATGAACCACTGGCATTGGACCTACACTGAACTGGGAAAAAAAATGAACGAGGCATGTCTCTGCCCTTATGTGGTTCAGTCTATTGAGGACATGTGTATGGGAGGCTACACAATCTCATAAAGGGTGATCCATACACACACACACACTTATTGGCTATTTTGGAGATTGTAACCTCAGACTTTTCTGCCTGAGCTGGCTTTGAACCTTCATCCTCCAAGACCTCAGCCTCTTGAGTAGTTGGGATTGCAGGTGTGAGCTAAATTTTTTTCTTTTTTTTGTCGGTCGTGGGGCTTGAACTCTGGGCCTGGGCGCTGTCCCTCAGCTCTTCAGCTCAAGGCGAGCACTCTACCACTTGAGCTACAGCGCCACTTCTGGTTTTCTGGTGGTTTATTGGAGATAGGAGTCTCCTGGTCTCTCCTGCCCGGGCTGGCTTTGAATCGCGATCCTCAGATCTCAGCCTCCTGAGTAGCTAGGATTACAGGCGTGAGCCACCAGCGCCCGGCTAAATTTTTCTTGTATACAGAGGGCTTACTTGTTATATCTGCACTGGGGGATATACTAAAGCCACATCTATACCACAGCAGATATTGTAACTTTTTTTTTCCCTGAACAATATCTGAATAAAATAGATAAATGATTTATTAGTATGTGATCCAAAATGAAAAACAGAAAATTAAATATTATAAATTTAACTTCTATATATTCAATCAAATAAATACTCAATAATTAAGTTTACTTGGCACTTGCCTCAATAAAATATAAAAGTGGGGCTGGGAAGGTGGCTCAGTGGTAGAGCGCTTGCCTTGCATGCATGAGACCCTGGGTTCGATTCCTTAGCACCACATAAGCAAAAAGAAAAAAGGTGGAAATGGCGCTGTGGCTCAAGTGGTAGAGTGCTAGCCTTGAGCTGAAGAGCTGAGGGACAGTGCGCAGGCCCAGAGTTCAGGCCCCACGACCGGACCCCCAAAAAATAAAATAAAACATAAAAGTATGTAAAAGATTACTTTGATAAAAAGTACACAAAGAACCACACTTCAAATTCTAATTAAGTAATAAATGGTTTTATTTCTCCCATAATTTTAGAAATGTGAACATTATGTGATTAGCCAGTCTTTACTTCCAAGTGACTTCTTCGTCAGGCCTCAATTCCCTGTGTGACAAGAAAAGAAAGGAACAAAGACTATTTTATGACCTATTAATCTAAATTTTTTGTTGTTGTTGTTGGTCAGGGGGCTGGGGCTTGAACTATGAGCCTGAGCTCTTTTGCTCAAGGCTAGTGCTCTATCACTTAGAGTCTCAGCATCACTTCCTTTTTTCTGTTGGTTAATTGGAGATAAGAGTCTCATGGACTTCCTGTTCAGGATGATTTCAAACTATGATCCTGAAATTTCAGCTTCCTGAGTAGCTAGGATTCCAGGCATGAGCTACGGGCACCTGGCTAATCTAAATTTTTTCCAGGAGTTTTTAACTCCCATTTTCTGCATGGAGAGCAGGAAGTGTTTTCCTCCTTCCCTCCCTCCTTTAATCTTGTTATACAAAAATAAATACTTGCTAACACCCTGAAATAATCTCAACAACCTATGATTATGTGTGGAAAGCGGGACACCTTCATCCATTCTGCAGTAACAGAAATGGTGATGCTGAGACAGGATCTAGATCTCAGAAGGGTAACTTGCTATCTTCTGATCCTGATTATCTTCTCCGCCTAATTGTGATGGCCTGTCAACTAAATTTCCCATGTCACTTCCTAAATTAGATGGGAAAACAACTTTTTGCTTCCATTTTTCCAAGAAGGGCCAACAATCCACTTTAGCAGAAAGCAACTACAGAAGTTGGCCACTGCTTCTGATACACCTTTGATTTATAAAAGGGACCAAAGTAATTTTGGGAGGTAGGTAATCCTTCCTTTCTCCCTGCTTTCTTTCCTTTCTCTTTCTTGTGTCAATACTAGTGAGCTCATGAACTTAGGGCCTGGGTGCTGCTGTTCCTTATCTTTTTTGCTCAAGTCCAGCACTCTCCCACTAGAGGCACAGCTGTGCTTCTGCCTTTTGAGGGAGGTTAACTAGAGATAAGAGTCTCAACTACTTTTCTTCTATCTTGGTTGGTTTTAAACTGTGACCCTCAGATCTCAGCTTCCAGAGTAGTTAAGATCTCACAGGTGTGAGGCTGGGAAGGTGGCTCAGTGGTAGAGTGCTTACTTAGCATGCATGAAGCCCTGGGTTCAATTCCTCAGTACCACATACACAGAAAAAGCCAGAAGTGGTGCTGTGGTTCAAGTGGTAGAGTGCTAGTCTTGAGCAAGTAAAGCTCAGGGACAGCACCCAGACTCTTGAGTTCCAGCCCTAGGACTGGCAAAAAAAAAAAAAAAATCTCACAGGTGTGAGCCACAGCTATTATTTTCGATCAATATTAAAAACACCAGTGGGAATCAATAAGGAACTAACAAAACCCTTAAGCTTCCCTCTATTTAAATGCTAACTTAAGGGAGACCTAAAGGGGTTTATCTAATAATGACCTCTCTTTTGCAATGGAAAGTACTTGGTAACTCTCTGGGCAGATGGATCAGAAGCTGATCTGGGAAAAGGAAGCCCAAGCTCAAGCTCACCTCTGGTCTCTGTGTTTTGGGTGGGCACAGAGAATAATAAGTAACCCATCTGTCTACACAGAACCATGGCCTAAGGGTTGGCTGGGGGTTGCTAGACCTCATGAGCACCTGTGTTCCCTCAGCACGGAAAGAAAGGAAACAAGTAACAGCAGCCATTTTGAGTCCTGGGGAACAGGAAATGTTTCTCCCCCCCTTCCACTTTAATCTTTCATTCTAAATTAAATCTTTAAAACTTAAAAAAAAAATCCAACTGGGCGCTGGTGGCTTACACCTGTAATCCTAGCTACTCAGGAGGCTAAGACTGAGGATTGAGGCTCATAATTTTAAACTTCTCACCTATTTCATTTTTTCCATATAAAAGAACAATCATTTCTAATATGTATGACAGCTGTGTCTTCTGAGTTCTTAGGTTTTCTAGACCTTTGGCCAGCTCATTTCACTTGACTCAAGAACACCTACATATTGTAATTATCCATGCTGCTTAGTCCTGTTGCCCCTTGAGTTTCTTCCAATTTAGACAGATGTACACCTATGGGCCAACATGTTCAACATGTTCCCATGTACAATAGGACCAGGTCCCTGGCCAGTTGCTATCACTCAATTACTGTGGATGCTGAGAACACAGCCATTCTTCCAAACGAGTAGAAGTTACCATTCACTATTACTGCCATTTCTTCTGAGTAGAAGAAATTACTATTTGCTATTATTGCCATTTCCCTGGAGTTAAGTCCTAAGGCTAGAAAAATACCCACATTATTATTATTTTTTTGGGGGGGTCCGGTCATGGGGCCTGAGCTCTGGGCCTGGTCACTGTCCCTCAGCTCTTCAGCTCAAGGCTAGCGCTCTACCACTTGAGCCACAGCGCCACTTCGGGCTTTTTTCTTTTTGCTTATGTGGTGCTGAGGAATTGAACTCAGGGCCTCATGCATGCAAGGCAAGAGCTCTACCACTGAGCCACCTTCCCAGCCCCCCCTTACATTATTTTTGCACATGACATTAAGAATACTAATCAAAGCTGGCCAATTGCTTAAAAAATGCCTGAACTAACCTTCTAAATAACATACTCTTGTTCCGGAAGGCAGTTAGCTTTTCGTCACTCTTTTTGTCTAGATAACATCCAAATAAAAATCCTGAAGGGACAAGTATATGAACCCAATGGTCGCGGACAAGCTGAAGGAAATTCACCATGACTGCTGGAAGGAAAAAAAAAAGAAAGATTATAAACTAAAATATATAATTGCCTTCAAAATTAAAGAGGAATCCTCAGCCTGACAGCACAATAGTGACTATTTCACAATAGGGACACAGAGCCTGGGAAGAGCAAGGGTTAAGGGGGTCTTCAAGGTACAAGAGGACAGGAAGTGGCGCTGTGGCTCAAGTGTAGACTGCTAGCCTCCAGCTGAAGAGCTGGGGGACAGCGCCCAGGCCCAGAGTTTAAGCCTCAGGACCAACAAAAAACAAACAAACAAACAAAAAACCCTGAGGGTGCAAGAGGATAAATGGGTATGATCAATGCACACTGTATCCATGAGAATGTCCTTACCATGTACAATTACTACACTAGCAGTAAAAAATAATGAGGTATCTTCTGAATGGCACATAAAACAGAAAGATGGCAAAAGATATAAGAGAAAAAAGCAGAATAAGCTTCTTTCTTTCTTTCTTTCTTTTTTTTTGGTCTGGTCCTGGGGCCTGAACTCTGGGCCTGCGCACTGTCCCTCAGCTCTTCAGCTCAAGGCTAGCGTTCTACCACTTGAGCCACAGCACCACTTCCGGCTTTTTTCTTTTTGCTTATGTGGTGCTGAGGAATTGAACTTTTTACTCTACTGTCCAAGTATCCAGCAAGTAAACTGGTTTCTTGCTGTCTAAACTTAAGCCAGTCGAAACACTTAATTGAGGTAACTTTAAAGCATTAAACTCTCATTTGGTAGACAATTTGTTTCTGTGTTCGTGTGACCTGAGTTCAGGTTCAGCTAAATTACAATCTTCCATTCTGCTATTTGTTCTTATTAGAGTTGGCAGATTTCTGAAGTGATGTCATAATACAACTGTTAAGACATCATTTTATACTTAGCCAAAAAGTACTTGCTGATTTGCAGCTCAAGTAGTTTTAAACAAGCCCATGGCCACCTGTGGGTTATGCCATTCTGGTCAGCATCCTTGTAAGAGGGCCAGAGGCTATTGATTAGTTTGGTCTGGCCTAGTCTGAGCAGAAAAGATGAGACAAGCCTTTGCTACACACATTACTTAAGCAAGGACAGTAGGACTGGTAAGACAATTCTGTTCCTTTGGTCGTACTCAACCACTATGAAGGAACATCCCTAAGTGGTAAATGACAAATCCTAGTGCTATGTCATACTACAGTTGTATAGTCAGTGGCTTCTGAGAGTAGTGCCCTGAACATCAATTGTTCTATATGATTTCCCGTGAGAAAAGAACCATCTGCTTTAGAGTTATGCCTGGTGGGGTCCCATAAGATTGATGTATATATTATTATCAGTGATCTTTTCTTTTTTGTCAGTCATGGGGCTTGAACTCTGGGCCTGGGCGCTGTCCCTCAGCTCTTCAGCTCAAGGCTAGCGCTCTACCACTTGAGCCACAGCGCCACTTCGGGCTTTTTTCTTTTTGCTTATGTGGTGCTGAGGAATCGAACCCAGGGCCTCAGGCATGCAAGGCAAGCACTCTACCACTGAGCCACCTTCCCAGCCCCAGTGATCTTCTTTATATAAGGACCCATAAGAAAGTTTTGTTTCAGAACCAGGAGCAGCTATATTTCTGAAAAAGTGAATTGAGTTTATCCTTAAGGTTTAAGGAACTGTGTACCCTTTCTTTTTCATGTGAGTGGGGTGGGGGAGGAGAGGGTACTGAGGACTCTTAGCACTCAATTGCATACCCAGCCCCCCTTGTCATGGCTCCTTCCTTGGTCCCTTCCTTCCCCTCCCCATTACTTTTTTTTTTTTTGGTGCTAGTCCTGGGACTTGAACTCAGGGCCTGGGTGCTGTCCCTGATCTTTGTTACTCAAGGTTAGTACTTTACCACTTGAGCCACAGCTCCACTTCTGGCTTTTGGTGCTTAATTGAAGGTAAGTCTCACAGACTTTCTTGCCCTGGCTGGCTTTGAACCGCAATCTTCAGATCTCATAGCCTACTGAGTAGCTAGGATTACAAGTGTGAGCTATCCATGCACATCTCTTCATCTGTTTTAAGGAAAAGTTTCCCTATGTAGACAGGTTAGTCTTGAATTCTGGATCCCTTGTTTTGGCTTGTGAGTGCTAGGATTACAGGGATTTATCATTGGGTTAGCACTTATCTTCTAATATTAAAATAATTATTTATTTCTTGCATAGATATACTTAGTGCTGAATCTTTTGAAACAGACTCTTGCTATTTGTCCAGGCTGTCTTTGAATTTGCCATTCTGTCTCATTCCCCTAAGCAGCAGGTGTTATAGGGATTGGCCATCTTGAAGGGCTAAACCATATCCACTCTCAGGTATGGTTTTTGCATAAGTAACTCATGAAATCCTCACAATACCACTATACATATATTTAATAACATAATGTCCCCAATGCAGGGAGCTCATTTTTTTTCCCCAAACCCAAGGGTAAAGTAACTCACATAGGATAACAGATGTAGTAAGTGGCAGAGTTGAGGTTAGTATCTTGTATTCCCCAAGTAGTCTGGCTACTTGGCTCAAGCTCTTGTACTTCACTGTTTAATAACCTCATTCTCATCTTTCAGAGTTTTTTTTTTGGGGGGGGTTTGGGGGGGTTTGGTCATGGAGGCTGAACTCTGGGCCTGGGTGCTGTCCCTTCCTCAGTTCTTCAGCTCAAGGCTAGGGCCCTACCACTTGAGCCACAGGGCCACTTCTGGCTTTATTCTGCTTATATGGTGATGAGGAATCGAACCCAGGGCCTCATGCATGTGAGGCAAGCACTCTACCACTGAGCCACCTTCCCAGCCCTAGAGTTTTTAAAAAATCTTATTTCCCCTAATATTTTCCTCAATTTTCTTGCCCTTAGCTTCTAAAAAGAAAATAATCTAGTATTAATCTTATTTTGGTAAATCGTTAAGAATTCGTGTTGGAAATGTACATAGCCACTTAAAAAGGTATATATTCCATTGCTTCATTGCACCGGTAGTACTTTTATGTATTTCTCAAAGTTTAAAAAAATAGGACTGGATGCATGAAGAAATCTAACGCTTTGAGGTCTTAAGCACATGTAGGGTTCTGGACAGCACAGGTTATGTTTTCAAAACAAAGCTGAATGCTTATTTTTTTGTGGCAGGGTCAGCTCCAGAAGATTTGATGTTCAAAAGAGATTGAGGATCACCAGCAGACAGATGGCCTAGCCTGGGACGAAGATCTCACATTTGTGCAGAAGCAGCCCTGCTCTGCTTCTGGCTAGGGTTAAGATCCCTGCTATTATCTCCTGTCCTGTCAAGTATGACCAGGGGGCGGCCATTGGGTCACCTCGAAAGGTGCCTTCAGTCAAGCCAGGTTCAGAGCTCTCTTCAAAGCTGCCAGGAGGGACCCGCGAACCCAGTCAACCCTGGACAACCCTATTTACTTCCCTTCCTCCACGCCCACGTCCCCACCTCCTCCTTTCGCTGGGGAGACACGGCCACCTGTCCGTCTGCTACAAGCCACTGCCGAGGGCTTTCCCTGAACCCTCCCCGCTTGCACAATCTCGACCAGCGGCCCCACCGCCATTCAGAGTCCCAAGACCTACCTGCGGCCCGGCCAGGCCCGAGTGCAGATCACGACCAGACGACCAAGGACAGCCGCTTCGGGCGCCAGGATCTGCGCAGGCGGAAGTTGCGACCTCGGGAGGTGCCACTTGTCGTGTCGCCCAGGGGGGTACAGGGAAGGGGCGCCAAAAGATACCACTTATTTCTCCGAAGAGTTGCCTCTTCTCATCACATGGCGTTAGAAACTTCAATAATTTCTTAAGAAAACTCGAGTCCCGGATGGCGAGACTTCCAAGCCTTCGACTTCTCTTGGCTTCGCCCCCTTGTTCCCCCCCCACCCCGTGAAGATGGTAGGATCCGAGTCGTCACCGCCTCAGCGGCTCCCCTCTAGGCGCAAAATGGCGGCGTCCAGTGAGCGTCGTCGGCCGGCCGTTCTTCACTGCTGCTGCTGCTGAGCGAGCACCAGCTTTTCTTCCTCTTGAACTTGGATCCGACTAGGGGTTGGGAAGGGAAAGTGAACGGCTCTGGGGGAGGCCTGGCGAGGCAAGTGAGGGCGGGAGAGAAGAGCGCGCCTCCAGATTGGGGGTGGTGGTGGCGGTGCGGCCTCGGTCCTGGGGGAGAGCCGGGCGGACGCGCGCCCCGCGGCCTCGGGCCCTGCTGGTCGGGTCCCTCCGGGCAGAAGTGCCCTGCGACCGGAAGAGCAGGGACTTCTCCGAGGGTCGGAGCCCCTTGGCTTTGTGGCGGCCTCGGGCGCCCTGGCCCGCGCGCTCTCCTTCCCTCCTTTGCTGCTGGCTCTGCGCCTCTTGGCGCGGGAGGAGGCCGTCCCAGGCCAGCTTCGCTCGTGTCTGGCGGCGGTCCTGACCTCCAGCCACCCCACCGTCTTCTTGGGTTCCAAGGGCTACTGGGCACTGGGCACAAAATACTTTAGACCTCTTAGATGTCGTGCCACGCCTGCAGAGGCTTGTCCTCTGTGCCCAGCTCCCTGGACCCTCATTAACACTGCGATCTGCCAGCGTCTCACCCATTCCTTCTTGCTCTTGTTTTCCGTGCTCTTCAGGAAACGGGAGGTCCAATCTGGCTGCCTGACACCAGGTGAACCCGAGTGATCGTTTATGCCCCTCTCCTAACTTCAGTCCCGCTATCTTCTAAACCCCCTTTACCAAGGACTGTCGTTCCTGAATGCAAGGAGAGAAACTTCTCTAATTCATTGAGCTCCGACTGTGTGTATGTTGAAGGAAAAAGAACTAGTACTGGGGCTTGAACGCTGGGCCTCAAATTCTTTTTTGGGGGGGAGGGGCTTGAACTCTGGGCTTGGGCGCTGTCACTGCTCTCTTCAGCTCAAGGCCAGCCCTCTACCACTTGAGCCACAACACCACTTCCGGTTTTCTAGTGGTTTATTGGAGATAAGAGTCTCACGGACTTTCCTGCCCTGGCTGGCTTTGAACCGTGATCCTCAGATGTCAGCCTCCTGAGTAGCTAGAATTACAGGCATGAGCCATCGGCACCCGGCTTGGGCCTCAAATTCTTATGGGCTTTTTTCACTTAAGGCTGGCGTCCTGCCACTTAAGCCACAGCTCCACTTCTGGCTTTTTGCTGGTTATTTGGAGAAAAGAGTCTCAGGGTTTTTCTGCCCCAGCTGCCTTTGAACCATGACCCTCAGATCCCAGTTTAGGATTACAGACAAGTGCCGTCAGAGTTTGCCCAGACTCTGCTTGCCCTTAGATTTTGCATTACTTTATTTTTAATTGTCCCCAAAGTGTTTGTTCATTAATTGAGAGAGCATTTAACTGTGGCATGTATTTGAGGTGAAGTAGTGTTACTCAAAATCAATCCTGCCCTGGAAGAATTTATCATATAGTGAGGGTTCACTACTTTGAACACACATTAATGTTGCAGTGAGCTTACAGTGAAAGGGTTGTTGGTAAAGAAGCAACAGGTAGGTTGTTTGTGATCAGTTATGTATGATCTTGATTTCCAACTGAAAAGTTTAGAAGTTTAGATTTCCACAAGAAGTCAGCAGCTGATTGATTACCCAGAGTGAGTGTGGGGATATTTGTTAGAATGGTCTCACTGATGGGTGTATGATGAAAAACTAGATAAGAGGAAATTTTCGTCATTCAGGTAAGCTGAGTATCCCCATGGAGAAAGACAATAAAGGATCTCAGAGAGACTTAAGTAAATGCTGGGTAGAATTCATTTGGTGGCCAGCCATTTACTGGTAAGAAGGTGACTGGTTTTCAGTCTGGGAGACCTCATGGCTGGTGATGACATTAAAATTCAGTCAGACATGTACATTAAAAACAGAATGGTGCCAATCTGCATTTTAGGAGCAGCAAAACACAGTGCTGCACAGCCCAAAGCATTGATTTTAGCGTCTAGACCTATGCTATTACAGCAGCCACTAGTCACATGCGGTACTAGGTTCTTGAAATGTGGTCAATTTGAATTGAGATGAGCTATAAATATATACTAGATTTTGAAGATAACACAAAAAAATCTGACCAAAAAATGGTCTAACTTGTAATGATTACATGTGGAAATTATAATGTTTTGGTTACAGTGTTAAAAGCTAAAATTATTTTTTAATTTTTACTTTATACTATGGCTGTGAAAAAAAATTATATCTGCAACAGAGCTAGTCTAGTCTAGTCTAGACTAGTGATGGGGGAACTAAGGAGGAGGTGGAATTTGAGCTGGACCTCGGAGCAACTTCCTGGCATCCTCCATTGCCAGGAAAGGCATTCAGTTGTTTTTTGTCTCCCTTGCTCCTCTAGTAGTAAGTATAGCAGTGTTACTCAAGGTTAGTCTGGCAGCTGTATTTAGATTAAGGTTAATGAAGGAACCCCCCCTCCCCAATTTAAGATAATGAGACCTGGTAAAGTACAGAGAGTAGGAAAAAGGCCAGTGGTATTCATGTAAGTCATTCTTATGGAAAATAATCTGAAATCAGTAACAGACTGTCCAAGAGAAAGGAAAGGGAAGACTAAAGCTTGTGGAGTTTCTAGTTCTAGTTACAGAGTGATTAGTGAATTGATGTGGGAAAATTATAAAATATAATGGAGACTGAAGAATTTAGTTCCAAATTAGAAGCAGAAAACTTCTGAGGAAGCCTGGCGCCGGTGGCTCACACCTGTAGTCCTAACTACTCAGTAGGCTGTGATCTGAGGATTGTGGTTCAAAGCCAGCCCAGGCAGCAAAATCCGTGAGACTTATTTCCAATAAACCACCAGAAAACTGGAAGTGGCGCTGTGGCTCAAGTGGTAAAGCGCTAGCCTTGAGCCGAAGAGCTCAGGACAGCGCCCAGGCCCAGAGTTCAAGCCACATGGGTGAACAAAAAACAAAACAACAACAAAAAAACTTCCGAGGAGTGTTTAGCAGTTCCTCTCCTCTTTCCTTGCTTTTTGTGTTCATTCCTAGCAGCTAATTTTCCTAAAATATTGAAGTTTTTCTATCATGCTAGTTAAGGAATTCTTAAAATGTTTCTTTGTAGCATGTAAAACTAGTTCCAAGATTTCCTTTCATCATTAAGCCCTTTTTATGTCTATTAAGCTTTTATACTTCCATTTTTGTTCCCATGTCAATGTATTGGGCTAGGTTATTACTGGTACTCTCAGATTCTGTGTTTTGTGCTCTAGCTTATACCATTCCTGTGTTTTGAATATCTTCTGTGTTTCTACCCAGGCCTCATAAGTCTTTAAAGAATAATCTAGATTTGACCTATTCTTCCATGATTCTCAGCAAGCTTTTAACTAAGAATTATCTTCTTTGTTTTGTGTGTGTGTGTGTGGTTTTTTTGTTTTTTTTTTTGGAGACAGGGTTTCTTTTTGTAGACGAGGCTTGAACTCTGTGATCTTCTTGTTTCTCCTGGGCTAAGATGGGCTGTACAATTCCCAGTTAAACCTTATTTTCTAAATGCATATTTAAGCTCCTAATTAAATTATAATCACGGCTCATTATTACTTATATTTGTCTTTTATTATACTATCTCTTATGCAAACCTAGGCTTCCTAAAGTTATTGTGCTTTTTTTTTTTAATGGACTATACATGGTGCATGCCCATGATCCTGGGACTTAGGAGACTGAGGCAGGGAATTAGAGTTCAGAAAACAGCCTAGGCCACATAGCAAGGCTACCAAAAGAAAACAGGACCATATAATACTTGCTCTTGCTCATGGTATCTTAGGGAAAGACATACAATTTAAAACATAGTTATAAAACAAGCAAGTTACTAATATCCCATTTATGAGACTTATTTACTTGTTTTTCAGATTTACAAAGACCACTTCCTCTAAATTCATGGTGTTTCCTCATCTGTACAACAGATACTGGTAAGTAATAAATGTCTGAATGCCTCATAAAGATACAGCTTTTAGTTGGGCACTGGTGGCCCAAGCCTGTAACCCTAGCTACTCAGGAGAATGAGATATAGAGGACTGAGGTTTAAAGCTATCCTGGGCAGAAAAATCCCAGATATTTCATCTCCAGAATAACCAGCAAAACACTGGGCCAGAGTTGTGACTCAGGTGATAGTGTACCAGCTATATGATCAAGCCAAGTGAGCATGAAGCCAGTTTTATTATTATGAGGACTTATAATGTGAATAAATTTTTACTTGTTAAAATCTGCATCTTTGTGCAGAAAAGTTTCCACATTGACTCAGTTGTATCTTTAAGCTAATCTAAATTAAGAAAATGGGACTTAACATAGATTTGAGCAGAAATTTTCTTAGGCTCTGAGTCAAACTGGAACAAGACACTTTGGCAGGGAGAATTATCCAGGTCCTCATTCATTCACTCATTCATTCATTCAAGGAATTGACTACCACTGTATGGCAAGCACTGTGGAGAGGCACTAACTATAATTTAGGGATACAGTTTCTGCCTTCATGAAGGTCACTTTCTAGATAGAGGCCAGAAGAGAAGGGGACAAAGCAAGTAAAGAGCAGTTATACAGAACACTAAGTATTTGGAGGAACATAGAATCATGTTATAGAGTGGGAAAAGGACTTTAAAGTTGTCCAAGAACATTGTAGAATAAATTGGATTGGAAGAATTCACAAGCTAGAGACCGTGGTGACAGTGGAGATAGAAAAGAATTTCAGAAATTCAGATTGGTATGAGACCACCTCACTGGAA